TTTCCCTAAAATACTAAAAAATAAAATCAAAAAAAAAGTTTTATATATGAATATTCTCCAAACAACTTAGAACTTTACCAACTTATAAAGGCAGATCTTAAACTTTAAGATGTAGCAAAGCCTCATCAACAAATTAGTCAGTTAAGTGCATGAATGTGACTGTAATTAAGTAAAACAAATTCACGTCATATTATTTGACTTGACATGAAATTTAATTAAGAAAAAAAAAATTGAAACTTCTGATATAAAAAAAATCAAAGATGTTTACATGAGTATAAATCTCATTAACAATAAAATGACTATTTTAAAGTTATATTGTTACAAAATATAGGATATGTCATTTTTTTAAAAATTGAATGAAAAAAAAGTGTTATTTAAATTAAAACAGAGTATTAGTTTCTATTTTGTCAACGTTAATATTAGGCTTTAGTTGACAAATGAAAAAAAAATAGACACATGGGATCAATGAGTGATGGAGTTTTTTCAGGCGAAATAATCGCCTTTCACATTCTTTCATATTACTAAAACAAACTAAACAATTGGCTATATAGATAAGGAGTTGAGATTTCTCAAGTAAATTTTGGATCAACAAAAGTCAGGATTTTTAATAAAGGATATTAAAATAAAAAGTAAAATAATATATATATTACTGTTAGGGATAAAACACACAATCTCAAATTATTAGTAACTTAATAAAAAAATAATTGTTTGAGATAATATTTTAAAAGTCAAGTAATTGTGTGAGAAATCAACTCTCACATCTATTATGTGTAAAGGAATAATATTCCTTGTATATATATACTTTAAAATTTTATTTCAAATTTGTTGATATGCTTGTAATCATCACTGGGGTGGCAAAATTAAAATTAATTCCAACCCGCCCAACCCGACACAATTCGTTTAGATTTGAATTGGGTTATGACTCGTTATCTAACTTGTTTTAATCCAATTCATTTTGGCCCAAAATCTTGATCCGTTTATTGTCCTAATCCATTTTTATTAGTCCAATTGCCACCCCTAATCATCACTAATGATAATTTTAAGGAAAAATTAGCAATTAAGTCATGAATATCTAATATAATTAGTCAAAATAACAACAATTTAAAATATTTATTTAAAATGACAGAATGACAATATTTTTATAAAATAATATGTATTCAGATTTTAGTATTTTAAATTAATTTTATTTATGGAAAGAGTCCTATATTGGACCAAATTATATAACAATAACCGTTTAAAGTGAAAAAAAAAAATTAAACCTATACCATTAACCTTTTTTCATCACCATTCACGTTTCTTCCCCAACTTTCACATTTCTTCCCCACCTTTCACGTTTCAAGTTTATCTTTCTTCAAGGTGCTAAATTGTTGTTCATCAAGAAATTTTCAACAAAATCTCTTTATTAATTCAAGCAAATTTCTCGATTGGCAAGGTAATTTTCATTATCCATTTCGATTAGTTATTTTGATTTCTTTTGATTTATTTTCAATATCACCGTTTATGGTTTATATTTCGCATTGTACATATTACGGATTTTCCGTAAATTTTTTTGATTTTTATGCAAGTTTGTTTACATATTCATCTAATATTTATGTATTTCAATTAGTTATTTAGATTTCTTTTGATTTGTTTTCAATATCACCGTTTATGATTTATATTTCGCATTGTACATATTAAGGATTTTCCGTTACTTTTTTCGATTGTTATGCAAGTTTGTTTACATATTCATGTAAAATTTATGTATTTTAGATTTTTAGTCGATTAAACAATTTTTTTCTGATTTCGTTTAATATTTCAGATTTATTAGAATCTACAAATTCATTCATATTTTATTTTGTTTGATTTTTAATACATTTATATTTGCTTTTAGGGTTTCAGATTTGGGGAAAGCATTTGTCTGTCTACAATGTCTAAATCAACCGTTTATTTTGTATTCATTCTATCTATATATCAACAAGTTTTACATTTTTTGTTTTTACATTGTATTTAAATCTCAATTAGTATACAACATGTTTGTATTTCCTTCTTAATTTGTAATTCATCCTAACTGTATGCTAACAATTTTGTATTTTATTGGGTATTCATTCTGTATTTCAATCTCAATTTATATGTGAACAAGTTTGTATTTCTCTTTTGTTTTGTATTCAACATAACTGTATACCAACAAATTTTGTATTTTATGTGCCTACTTTACCTTTCAAAGTCACTTTGTATTTCAAATGAAAAGAGTATTTAATTTCTTTTGTATTCACAACTTTACATTCAATCTCACTTTGTATTTATAACTTTGTATTTTCATCTCACTTTTGTATTCATATATTGTTGTATTCAACATATATAGTTCATGATCCGTTAGTTGTATTTTACCTTTCAAAGTCACTTTGTATTTCAAATGAAGAGAGTATTTCTTTTGTATTCACAACTTTATATTCAATCTCACTTTGTATTTTCATCTCACTTTTGTATTCATATATTGTTGTATTCAACATATAGTTCATGATCGATTAGTTACATTAACTTAATGGGATACAAATTATTGTATGCATTCAAACAGAAAAAACAACTACTAAACTAAAAAAAAAACAATTTCATTCGTTATACATCATAATTTGGATACAAAACATCCAAAAAAAGCTATAAATCCCAATGCATACAAAGATTTCATTGATTCAATCAGGAAAAAAAAAAACACTCTTGTACTCGACATATACAAATATCTCATCCAAACAAATAAAAAAATCGAAAAAAATACCAGATTGTTTTTCGATTGTTCACTAGATGCGACAAATTTATAGTTGTCAATTTTAAAAAATTCTGTTTCAAAAATATGTCGTATTCAACTTGAAGAAGCTTTGAAAGTTATCAAATGAATGATTCAGAAGACAAACTAAATTATTTTAGTTTTTTTTTTATGTTCTTAAGAAGAAAGCAAAAAAACGCTCGACGGAAAGATGGCTATTTATGCTTCAAAACGTAACTGATATGTATTTAAAATCTTTTTTACCTTTTTTGAATTTTTTTGTTCCATGATTTTCTCTGTTCTATTATTAATTATTTGTATTCTTTCAAATTAATCAAAATAAAATAAATACATAACTAATTCCTTAACAAACTAAAATAATGCTAAGGAGACCCACTAAAAGCTAAAATATTGTTGTTTTGAAAATTTTTCCTAATTTTAAGTATAGAATGTAATCACAATTCACAAGAAGATTTTTTTGTCCAATTCACAATAGGAGGAGTTGGATGATTGGGCACGTGGAAAAGTTCTTGACGTTTAAATTTTAACAGATATTACGTAGTGGATTAAAGTGGTACTAATATTTAAAATATGAAGGGATTATTAAAATTGTGATTCCTCTAGTGACTCTTCTACTATTCCATTGGTGATTCCTACTTCACCTCCACAGGATGATACTATTTCAGCAGTGTCTCCTAATATCTCCCCACCACACATTAATGTTGTTCCTCCTTGTGTTGTACCTATTTACTGATCCTGTTGTGCTCCCTGTACCATCTGGTGATGTGATAATGGATGCTAGGAGATCCACTAGGGCATCTAGACCTCCTATTTGGCAAAAGGACTATGTAGTACCTAAAGCTCATTATCCAATTGGTAATGCTTTATGTTATTCTGGACTTTCTCCTTCTTACCAATCCTTCATAGCTCACACATCCTTAGAAACTGAACCTACATCTTATGGTGAAGCTACAAAAGATGATAGGTGGGTTGAGGCGATGAAACCTGAAATTACAGCTTTGGAGGACAATAAAACATGGAAAGTTGTCACACTTCCACCTAATAAAAGGGCTATAGGTTGTAGATGGGTGGGTATACAAGATCAAGTATAAGGCCAATGGAAACGTTGAAAGGTTCAAGGCAAGGCTAGTTGCCAAGGGATATAGTCAAACAGAAGGCATCGACTACCAAGAGACTTTTTCCCCAGTTGTTAAGATGGTAATTGTGAGATCAATTTTTCTATTGCAGCATCTAAGAATTGGGACATTCATCAAATGGATGTTTATAATGCTTTTCTCCAAGGAGATTTGCATGAACAAGTGTATATGACTCTTCCACAGGATTTTTCATGTTCAGATAAGGCAGGGAAGGCATGCAAATTGCTAAAGTCTTTATATGGACTCAAACAGGCTTCGAGGCAGTGGAACATCAAGTTGACTACTACTCTCATTGAGTCTGGTTTCTCTCAGAGTCACTTAAACTATTCTCTCTTTACAAGGAAGGTTGATTGCCACATTGTAGTGGTTCTTGTATATGTAGATGATTTACTCATCACTGGCAGTCATAGTGGCCTTATTCAGGAGACCAAGGATTGCTTGCAGCGTGCTTTCAAGATCAAAGATCTTGGTCCCCTCAAATATTTTTTGGATATTGAATTAGCTAGAAACAAAGATGGTATTCTCATGCATCAATGCAAATATGCTTTGGAACTGATTTCAGATGCTGGTTTATCATGATGTAAGCCTGTCTTAGCTCCTCTTGAATTGAACCATAAACTCACATCTGTTGAGTTTGATGTCCATGTTGGTTCCTCTGAAGATTCTTTGTTACCTGATCTTACCAGTTATCAAAGACTTATTGGTCGACTGTTATACATTACTATGACCAAACCAGATATTTCATATGTTGTCCAGAACCTGAGTCAGTATATGCACTCTCCCAAGTTGTCCCATATGGAAGCTTCTCTTAGGGTGGTGAGGTACTTAAAGTCAGCCCCTGGATTTGGTATTTTGTTATCTTTCCAGGCAGGGTCTACGATTCAGGCCATTTGTAATGCAGACTGGGGGGCTTGCCCAAACTCCAGAAGGTCCATTACTGGGTATCTAATCAAGTTTTGTGATTCTCCTATTTCATGGAAATAAAAAAAAAACAGTCCACAGTCTCTAGGAGATCGGCTGAGGCACAGTACAAGAGTCTATCCTCCATTGTTGTTGAACTAGTCTGGTTAGTTGGTTTATTCAAAGAACTTGGGGTCACTGTTTCAATGCCTATTCCTCTTCATTGTGACAGCAAGTCGGCCATCCAGATCGCTGCGAATCCTGTTTTTCATGAGTGCAACAAGCACATTGATATAGATTGTCATTTCATTCCATGATGAGTAGCAGTTTTATAGGGTCCCCAAACATCCATGTGTACTAATTGAAAATTTTCAGAACTTGCTATGACTTATTGGAAAAGGAAGTCTACGTTGTCTTGCTCGTGGACAGACATCACAATTGTTCAAAGTAGAAGAACTATGAAAAGGTAAAGCATAAACTCTCTTGAGAACTGGAATGGGAACATGCCCCATTCTTTGATGCCAAAGGTCCTCAGACGCCATGTTTCTTGCTGATGAGCAACCCTTCCTCTGAGAATCCTCCTTTTGTTTCATGTTGATCACATATAAACCTTCCAGCTCCCTACCAATCTCCTTAACCTTCCCAGTACAGAGATCCTGGAGAAGGAAAAAATTTGGATAGAAAGAAGCACAACAGTTAAGTTCTTTTGTCAATTTTGACACTGACAAAAGATTAAACTTAAAAGCTGACACACAATAAATGTTGGATATAGTATCACCTCCAGATAACTGGCTACTTCCAACATGTGTTATCTTAGTAGACTCTCATGTTGGCAATTGAACTCTCTCTGCACTTTCTATTAATGTATCACTTTTCAACAAATTCTTATCTCCAATCATATGGTTAGTTGCACCAGTATCTACAATATTCCATTCATGATCATCTTGCTTATTAACAGGTTCAAAAAAACAATTAGCTGCCATATGTGCACTTCCTTCATTGACAGATGTATTATTCAGCATGGCTAACACCTTGTTATGTTGTTCGAGGGTGAGCACAGGCCTTGCTAGAATCTGATCATACTGCTCTTGTGTTAGCATAGGTCCATGGCTTGAACTAACATGGCATAAATTTGATTTATACTAGGCAATGGCTTCATCATTAAGATTTGGCTACGAACATGACTATCATCTAGACCCATTAAGACCTGAAACAATCGTTGTTTTTCAAAATGTGCAATAAAATCCCTCGATCTCTCACAATCACAAGGAGGGGGGACTAGAGTATTGTACTCATCCCATAAGTCTTTCAGCTTAGAAAAATACACCGAAATAGTAGAAATCCCCTGTGTCAATATGGCAATTTCTCTATGTAAGTAATAGGATCGTGAATCGTTGACCTTATCGAAACGTTCTTCCAGATCCTTCCAAATTATAGCTGCACTCGAGCCATAAAGAATTCCAGCAAGCAAATTTTTGTTCACATTCCCCATTAACCACGAAACTACTATCGCATTGCAATAATCCTATTGTTTCGTTAATCCTCCAGTGAAATAAGCACGGGCTGTTTTTCATGAGCGCACCAAGCATATTGATAGAGATTGTCATTTCATTTGGGAGAAATTGCAACTTGGCCTCATTAAGACATTGTATCTTGCTTCTGATCAACAACCTGCTGATCTGCTCACCAAGGGTCTTACTTGTCTTCAACATCAGTTTCTTTTATCCAAGCTAGGCATGAAGAATATCTTCATTGCACCTAGCTTGAGGGGATGTAAAAGTATTAGATAGATGTGCCTTAGTTCTGTACAGGGCCACTTTGTAATTAGCTAATCTTATGTGGTTAGTTAGTTAGACGTTTAACAGTTGTCATAAGTCGGTTAGATTACTATATGAAGCATAGGGTAATTAGCTGCTGAAGTAACAGATTCAATTCATTTTGTATGAACAAGTTCCTCTCATTTTTCTCTTAGGGTGTGTTTGGTATGAAGGAAAATATTTTCTAATTTTCTCATGTTTGGTTGGGTTATATGTTTTGGAAAATGTTTTTCAAATCAACTCATTTTCCTCAAATTTAAGGAAAATAACTTCCCTTCAAAACTTCAGGAAAACATTTTCCAAAACTATCTTCCAACTTCAAATTACAATTTTTTTTGTTGAAAAAATCAATTTATTTTGTCCCCCCCAAAAAAATAAATTTGAATTTGTTTTTAAAAAATATTTTCAACTTTAAAATTTCATTTTTTCACCCTACCCTCGACCCCCACTACCCCACCAGCCCCCCCCCCCCCCGCCACCACCCACCCCCCCAAAAAAAATTTTAAGTTTGTTTTTTAAAAATATTTTCAACTTCAAATTTTTATTTTTTCACCCCTACCCTCGACCCCCCCCCCCTCTATCCCCCCACCCCAAAAAAAAAATTTAAGATATTTCTCAAAAACATTTTTCATTCATAAATCAAACACTAAAAATCTTTTTCGAAAAATATTTTCTACTCACTAACCAAACATGAGAAAATAAGTAAAAAATCTACTTGTTCTCCCAAAAAACATTTTCCTTCATACCAAACACACCCTTAATCTGATCTTCAAGCTTCCATGGAATCTGTGTTGGATGTGTGTCTTTGCACAAATATCTGAAACTTTACAGTCAGTTATATCTCCAACATGCCAAATATACTACTACCAAGAAAGTAAGAATTTAAAAATTATATATAGTTGTGGACTACATTTTATAATCTAGGAGATACTCTAACTCAAATAACTTTATGCTTTATGATTTACAAGAATTTCTTTTAAAAGATTATATTAAAACTATTTACTCCATTCTCTTAGGTAGACTAACTTTTCTAAGGTCCTTTTCTCACAAAATTCAATTTAGTATTCCCATCAAGGATACTTACGTATGAGTTATGACTAATGCAAACAATTTGCAATGAACACAACCTGATAAATTTTATATTTGGAGTAATTGACAAATTTTTACATTGAATTTCATAAATTCATGAATATTTTAATGTTATTTTTAACTTCTTTTCGGAGTTATCATAAAACCCTTTTCATTTTTGTTATTTTCTAATTTTAATATCTATATAACATGAGGTGTGTGCGCATGTCTATATATATAAAATGTATAAATAATATATTCTCTACAAGATTAAAGAATAGTTTGATATATTTGATATATATTTAATTTAAGACCATAAGATTCAAAAATCATTTACCTAATATCTCTGCCTGGGTTTGGATCCCGTCCAGTGGGGATTTCCTCCGGTGCCTCCAGTAGGCCTTTAAATTTATTACACGTGTCTACTTATATATTCAATGGACTAGATTAATCTACTAACCAAAGCCTTAAACTATAGAATATTATAAATAACACTTATGTCTTAACCCAAATGAATAAACAAATATTCACCACACATGACATATTAATAATTTCAAACTTAATTACTTACGTCTCCAATCTTTACAACTAAATATGTACACAAATCCAAAACCTAATAACTTTGGAGGAAGTAAAGCTTACCAACCAAGCTTAACGCCAACCAACTAGTGAAAATCCGATCTACAGCCACCACACTCAGAGTGTGAGTATGAAATAGTGTACCGATTATATATGTAAAGATAGTAAAATAATATAACTGAATACGAACGTCACACTACCAACAACGTGCAACCAACCTACTTGGATCGATTTTTATTCTTTTGTCCTTAACAATCGAACTTATGTATGGTGAGACATAAATTTTTTTTTAGAGCACGAAATATACCTTGTCAAATATTATGATGTGAAAACATAAACTTATATTCCACGAAAAAATGAGAGTCAAAAGTGCCCATGACTTGAGGCTATGAAGGACATTGGGCCTTAATTATCTCTTCCCTCAATGAATTGGGCTTGTCATTCGGAGCTCTACTTGGCCCCAAATAAAACATCAATGGCGAGTTGATACTCATTTTTCTAGGGTTTCTGATTCTCCATAAGCAGAAATCGAAGGCAGAATCACCGAGAGATAGAAGAAGAATGAAGACTATACTCTCATCGGAGACAATGGATATCCCTGAGGGGATAACCATCAAGGTAAAAGCAAAGCAAATTGAAGTTGAAGGACCAAGAGGAAAGCTGACTCGCAATTTCAAGCACTTGAACCTTGATTTTCAGTTGATAAAGGATGAAGAAACTTGTAAGAAGAAGCTAAAAATTGATGCTTGGTTTGGATCTCGGAAGACTACTGCTGCTATTCGAACTGCACTTAGTCACGTTGAGAATCTCATCACTGGTGTTACTAAAGGGTACCGTTACAAAATGCGTTTTGTGTATGCACATTTTCCTATCAATGCTTCAATCTCTGGTGGGAACAAGTCTATTGAGATTAGGAACTTTCTCGGTGAGAAAAAGGTACCCTTTCTTACTATTTCTTTCAATTTTTTTGTGTTTTATTTGCTCTTGCTTTGTATATTATTGTCTCCGCTATAATTTGTTTGGCCTATTTTGACTTGGGACAGAAAATTTGAATCTTGTTAGTCGTTTATGTTAAATGTACCAAAATGCTTTTTAATCTTGTGGTCTTACACATGTTGTTTAGAAAGTTGTCAAACAAATTGAAACGTTGGGAGTATACCGTTTCTGTGGTGCATTTTCAGGGGATTTGCTTATAAAGTTGATGTATTTAACTGCTAATATTTCTATTGCTGATGTGGAGTAGATTCCTAAAGCAAATTGGAAATTCTGTTAAAATACGACTTTTTTGCTTTTCGAAAAAAGGAGGGCTTTTTACAGCTTAGTTATCCACAACTGTATGTTAAATTATCAAATGGCTTGTTTTGCAATTGAGATGTCTGAGAAATTAGTCTTATGTTGGTAGATAGTAAAACTTAGGTGTATTTGGATGCTACAACAGCTAAACGTTGTAGGGCCTCTATTAGCACTGAACAATGCTCTTTTAAGTCCTCCGTTTTGCTGAAATTTGTGTCTTAACGTTTAAATAGGGACGTGCACTTAGACAATGTTATTGTACTATTGTTTGGGTTATTGTTTCTATGAAGTGAAGTAGTTTGTGACTGACTATTCATGCCTCTGCTTTATCTCCACGAGTAAATAAACGTGAGGAACTAGAGATCTTGATTGAAATACTTGTTGCTAATAAAGAAGGGAAGTGCAATCAATAGATGAACGGAGGGATGTTTGAGTTTTAATATAAGTGAAGATGCTTTAAGCCTCATCCCATAAGGAATGACATTATTATACGAAGCCGTCTTTGATGGATTGATGTGCTCTTTTAATTTCTTCTGCTACTAAGTGTTTATAATATTTTGCTACATTGTTGGAATTAAATTGCTTCCTTGAGTCTAGTTTTGTCACCATACTATGGGGATCACTTTGCAGTAGTCTATAACATTTATTGTTTGAATAATGTTATGATGCTTAAAATGCTTTCCATAATATGTGTCTGTCACAAATTTTCTTGATGGACAGGAGTCTACCTTTGAGATGTTACTGCAGGTTAGTAAGGAACTAACTTCTTTGCTTTCAGGTGAGGAAAGTCGATATGCTTGATGGGGTTACAGTTGTCCGTTCTGAAAAAGTTAAGGATGAATTGGTATTGGATGGAAATGACATCGAACTTGTTTCTCGGTCTGCTGCCCTCATTAACCAAGTAAAACTCCCATATCTTTTCCCCTCTATATGTGTCCATTCATTCATACATACAGTTCTGCATGTTTACTAAACTCGCTCTCTTTCTTTTGACAGAAATGCCATGTGAAAAACAAAGATATCCGTAAGTTTTTGGATGGTATCTATGTCAGTGAGAAGGGAAGAATAGTTGAAGAAGAGTAAGTGCTAGCAAACTGGTTCTAAGATTATACACCGATTTCATAAGAACATATTTGAAGTTAAATCAACAATTTTGGTACTAGATGACTACATATCTGTTAAGGATAAGTTTTTTTTTGTTTTGTGTATGGTTCATTAAGAGATGGATGCTTTCTTTGGACTGTTTATTTATCTTCAGATCAATTTCAATGTCTTTCTTAACCTGTTGGTTGTTGCCATTTTGAGATTCTCCAAGAAAGTGTTATGAAGAGATACCATGACAATGTAACATTCTTAAAAAAAAAAAGGTTTTAACTTGGTGTATGAGGGATTTGGTTGATGTTAAAGTTGCTCAATTCCAATCCTTTTATCTCTCAGCTTGAAAGAGCACCAACAGTCGTGTTATCATACAAGATAGCAATGTGTGCATGGTGACTTGTTACACGTATCGTCTTTATTGTTAAAATGTTTTTTCAAAACATTATTTGGTTTGTTGATAATATTAGCAATTACCAATCTTTAAGGTGTGTTTTGTGTTGTGAAAATGGCTGGCCAAGTTGTTGGGCCTGAGGCTTAACTTAATAATAAAAACACATTCAATAAATTGAAATTTAGAAGTTTAATTCTTAAAAATTATTGAATTTTAAATTAATAATAAAAAAAACACATTCAATAA